GAGGAAAACATTATTGAATATGTCAATTGTGTTGTAATGATATGCTTCTTCTAAGTATGTTGTTATTAAATAAATCATTTTTAAAAATTAAAAAAAAAAACTGCAAATGAACCTAAAAAAAAAAAAAGGTCATCTCTTGACAGAACTTTTTAAAAAAACTTTATGTGTATGAATTTGTTGCCTGCATGTCAGTAAGTGCACCTGTGTCATGCAATGCCCTAGGAAGTCAGAAGAGGGCATCAGATTCCCTGGAACGGGAGTTAGAGATGGTTGTTAGCTGCCATGTGGGTGCTGGGAACTGAACCTGGGTCCTGTGCAAGAGCAGTTAGTGCTCTTAACTGCTAAGACAACTCCAGTCCCACTCTGATAGTACTTTTAAAAAAGGTTTTGATAAAGCATTTTTAGTAATAAATACACTAATAGACTCTTTAGATAATAGATGGTCTGGGTGAAAAAAAGAGGGATCTGGAAAACATTGTGGCTGCAGTAAATATTCAGATTTTTCTGACATATCTCTATTTATGATGCAACATGGGACAATTCTATAATCTTTTTTTTTTTTTTTTTTTTTTATGTGTACGAGTGTATTGCCTGCATGTAGGTAAGTGCGCCTGTGTCGTGCAATGCCCACAGAGAACAGAAGAGGCCACTGGATCCCCTGGAACTGGAGTTACAGGCAGTTGTTAGCTGCAATGTGGGTGCTGGGCTTCAAACCTGGGTCTTCTGCAAGAACAACCAGTGTTCTTAACCACTGAGCCATCTCTCCAGCCCAATTGATAATCTTTTATGTATCTAAAATTGTTTTGATGAAAAAATTCATTTCTTCTAATTTTACTTAAGCACATTCCTTCAATGAGTGAATAAACATCTTAAAATATGAATTTAAAAATGTATTTATCTAGAAACAAGTGCTGCTAGGGACCAAACCTAGATTTTTTTTTTAAACAAATTATTTTTATTTTATGTGTTTGAGTGTTTTACCTGCAATACATGTAAGTGCAATGCCTGGAGAGGTCAGAAGAAGCCATTGGATCCCCTGGAACTGGAGCTACAGATGGTTGTTAGCTGCCATGTAGGTGCTGGGAATCACACCTGGATCCTCTGCAGGAGCAGCCAGTGCTCTTAACCACTGAGCGATCTCTCCAGCCCCTGAACTTAGATCTTAATGAATTAGGCAAGCTTCTACTGCTGAGCCACACCCAGGTACCCCATTTGCCTACAAAACAACATGTATAATACTCTGAAGAAGATTTTAAAGTTTTTTGTTTTTGTTTTGTTTTTTTTTTGTAAAACTTTTGTAAAAAATTTTATTTATTTATAATTTTTTAAGTTTTATGTGTATGCGTGCATTGCTTACATGTAGGTAAGTGCATCCATGTTGTGCAATACGTGCGGAGGTCAGATCCCCTGGGACTGGAATTACAGACAGTTGTTAGCTGCCATATGGGTGCTGGGATTCGAAACCGGGTCTTCTGCAAGAACAACCAGTGTTCTTAACTGCTGAGCCATCTCTCCAGCCCCGGTTTTAAAGTTTTAAGGCATAATTAAATACTACCTAATAATTAAATATTACCTAAACACAGAAAACCCAGTGACATATTCTTACTGTATGAGCCAACAATTGTTTTTTAGTATTTACCTAAGGAGATGAATCAAGCTGACATTCATACAGAAACCTATAAATGGGTGCTAATAGCAGCTCTATTTATAACTGCCCCAAACTGAAAACAACTAAGATGAATAAACAGTGGTACATATATAATGAATTATTATCTAGAACTGAAAAATGAGCTCTCAAGACATAAAAAACATGGATAAAAACTTCTGTATATTACTAAATGAAACATCAGCACACTTATGATTCCAATTGCCTAGCATTCTAGAAAAGGCAAAACCAGGGATATAGGAAATGATCAGAGTAACTGAGAGTTGGAAGAGAGAGGGATAAATGGGTGGAACTAGAGGACATTCCCTGCAGCAACCTACAGGCTGAACAATAAACCCTACACTACCTCAAGGCTTGACTTTTATAAAGTTGAGCCCTGTGGAAATAAGAAAGTTCTGTTGAATGCATCATTTGTCATTCTCCTGTTTTGATCATTTCTTAGGAAGAAACTAATAATCAACAGTGTATGTAGCTGTAGCAGTACCAAAACAATGTTCCATGAAGACCTGCAGAGCAATTGCTAACAAAAACCTCACTTTAAGTTTTCTATCACATATTCTTTACGTGTTACTTCTATGAGGCCATTTTTGAATTTCTTTAGTTAATTTTAATGGCCTAGAAAATGTGCACACACACACACACACACACACACACACACACACACACACACACACATTTGTTTGAGACAGGCTATCTTGTAGCCCAAAATGGCCTTGAACTTGATAAGTAGATTAGGATGACCTTAAACTTCTGATTCTTCTGCTTCTACCTCTTGAGTACTGGGACTGTAGGCATGTCCCACCATGCTCAAATACCAGATGCATTGTTGTATAGAGAACATTTGAGTGGATTACAAACAATGATACACTATGAACATTTCATGTTTTATTGGACATACTGCATTTCTCTTGGCTATGATGACCTGGATCATGGTATCATCATAAGATGCATAAGGTGGAGCTGGAGAGATGGCTCAGTGGTTGAGAGCACAGACTGCTTTTACAGAGGACTCGGGTTTGATTTCCAGTACTCACATGGCAGCTAACAACCATCTGTAACTCCAGTTCTAGGGGATCTAACGGGTTCTTCTGATCTCTGCAGGCATTGCACAACACAAGTGCACTTAAACACATGCAGGCAATACACTCATACACATAAATAAAAATAATAAATAAAATATTTTAAAAATAAGATGTATAAGATGTACTTATAATACCAAATAGTTTTTCAAAATTTCTGGGCCAATTAACTCTCCCATCAGTAGAAAATTACTTCATGTCCTCACCAACATTTGTATTTGTTTTTTTGAGACAGTTAATCCAGGCTGGTCTGAAACTTGCAGCAATCCTCTTGCCTCTGCCTCACAAATGCTGGGATTGCAGGTGTGCATCACTACAACTGGCCAATACTTGGTATTATCTGTCCTTTCATTTTGGCCATTTTGTGGGTATGCAGCAATATTACCTTGTTTCGTTACATTTATTTATTTAATGTGAGAGTGGGTGAATAGGTGCCACAGTGTGGAGGCCAGAGGACAATTTTCAGGAGTTTGTTTTCTCCTTCTATCATGTGGGTTCCAGGGTTTGAACTCCATTCATTGGGCTTAGCAGCAAGCATCTTTACCTTGTTATCTTGCTGGCCCACCTTGTTTTTGTATGTATTAAATAATGGTTAGTGAAGTTAGGCATCTTTTTATATGATTACTAGTCACTTAAAGTTGCTCTTTCTGCCAGGCAAGGTGACACATGCCTTTAATTCCAGCATTTGGGAGGCAGAGGCAGGCAGATCTCTGTGAGTTTGAGGCAAGCCTGGTCTACATAGTGATTTCCAGGCCAGCTGGGATTACAGGGAGACCCTGTCTCAAAAAACACAAAAACAAAAAACCCAAAACAAAAGAAAAAAAAAAACCGAAGCAAAAAAAAAATTAAAAAGTTGCTCTTTTCCGAATCTTAAATTTTGTGTCCATTTTCCTAACTTTTTTTTTTTGCATTTTCTTCACTAGATTGGTAGACTTCTTTATGTCCATCCTTTGAACATGTATAATAGTAATTAATATTATAAACATCTCCTTTCACTCTCTGGGTTGCCTTTTAAGTAAGGATATATATATATATATTTTTTTTTTTTTCCTTTTCTTTTGTCTTTTTGAAATAGGGTCTCCCTGTAGCCCCAGCTGGCCTGGAACTCACTTTGTAGGCCAGAGTGGCCTCGAATTCAGATATCTGCCTGCCTCTGCCTCCCGAGTGCTGGGATGACAGGCATGCACCACCACGCCTGGCTCTATTTATTTATGTTTTTTATGTGTATGAATATTTTGCTTGCATGTATGCTTGTACACCAAATGTGTGCCTGAGGAGGTCAGAAGAGGGTGTTGGATTCCACAGAACTAGATTTACAGATGGTTGTGAGCTGCCACTTGGGTGCTGGGAGCCAAACCCCAGTCCTCTGCAAGATCAGCAAGTACTTTGAACTGCTGAGCCATCTCTCCAGTTCCACCTTTACTTTTAGTGTTATGCATATATTCTGCGCGTGTGTGTGTGGTGTGTGTGTGTGTGTGTGTGTGTGTGTGTGTGTGTGTGTGTTTAGACAGGGTTTTGCTATGCAGCTCACGCAAACTCATGATACATGTGAAAATATTTTTATGGCATGGTCTATATGAATTGAATGTTACATGTCAACTTCTTGTCTTATTAGGTAGGCTAACGGATCATAATCCTTCCTTGTTTTCTGTAGGTGTAAGTTTTGGCTTACTTGCAAAGGACCACAATATGCCACAGTGACAGATACAACACGCATTGTATAAAACATCTTTTTGACACTATGAGTGTATGAGGTGTGGTACAAAGTATTAATGAAACTGGTTTGCATCAATTGTTTTTGACCTATACAAATGGTAAATTTATATGGTTCAACTTTGTATAGACACATCAAGGAAAGAAAGTTCCAGGAGGTGTTCATACCTGAGAAGTTCCTTCTTATTGATCAAAGCTTTCATATATTCAGAAAGTTTCTTTTGCATTAATGCCAAACGTAGCCAGGCTCTTCCTCTGCCTACTGGTGTCCTACAAGAACACAGAAAGCAAATAACTAAGAACAGAGCAAAAGGCAGGGCAGAGGCCAGCATGGAAAGATTCATGTGCTCTTGCCAATGGTCTCACAGTACAGCACTACGACCCTCCTCATATTCCCTGTTCCCATTCCTACACAAGCAATTGTGTGTGGGACAGTGAGACCAAGGGGTGTATTTGGAAGACATGTTCTCACAATTAATTAATTAATTAGCTGTAGTTTGAAAAAGAGAACACTGTTTGGCCCACCTAGAAAGTTCAGCTTAGTACTGATAAATTTTCCTAAGTTTAGAGTGGGTTATATAAGTAGCCAACCACTACTGTGGACACAGAAAGCCTTTATTCAAGTAAAATTAAACCAGTCTCATGTAGGAAGCTGATCACTACTTTTTCCTCCAAATTTGAAAGCAGGCTGTAGGTTCTTGAATCTCATTTGACAACTTTTTATTTTATTTTTGGCTTTGAAACCCCATGGAAGAGAATTTTTTCCTAAGTAAGTCAGGTATATTATCTCCAAAAGCCAAATTTAAGATTTGCTAACTGATTCTAACAAGTGCTCTTAATAAAGAGGAAATGCTTGCTATTTGTAACATGAAGCCAACCTCCCTTAGACCAGTATCCTTCAAGGACACATTTGTTTAAAAAGAATACGAGCCCGTTCTGTCCTAACAGTATCTAATTGTAACATGATGAATTTGTATTGTTCTAAAAATGCTTGTGAACATTATCTTTAACACCCTTCTCCAAGGAGAGAAACAGAATTTAACCTGAGACTTACTTAAGTCCTGGAAGGTCTTTGACACTTGCTGTTATCTCTGCCGCTTCTGGAACAAGTTTTTCTACCAGTTCTAGAGGCCCCCAGAAGGATTTATTTTGTCCAAGAAAAGTTTTCTTGGCTAAGACAACAGAAAAAAACAGTATTTTAAAAATTCTTTCAACATAAATATCCCTTCACTACATACACACAGAGGTATGCATATACTTGCATGCCATGTGCAAATTCTCTCTCTCTCTCTTTCTCTCTCTCTCAAATATATACACAGTCTTCAACATCCTTTCCAGGGATCTAATTCTAGGCAATTAGTTTAAAAATTATTCATGTGGGCTAAAGAGATCAATCAGTTGATAAAATGCTTGCCACGCAAGTGTTAGAACCAGAATTCTGATCCCCAGAGCTCACATAACAGCCAAGTAGGTATGGTGGCTGGCTTGTACTCCCAGCACTCAGGAAGGAGACAGATGTGGAATCCTTGGGGCAAGCTGACCAGTTAGATTAGGTAAACAGGTGAGATCAACAATCAATAAGTGGGACCTCATTACATTGCAAAGCTTCTGTACAGCAAAAGAAACAACCAAGGAAGGAAAGAGGAAACCCACTGAGTGGGAGAAAACATTCACAAGCTACACATCCGACAGGATTCATATCCAGAATATAGAAAGAACTCAAAAACAAAGAAATAAGAAAATAAATGGCCCAATAAAAAGATGGGCACTAGACCTGAACAGAGAGTTCTCAAATGAAGAAATAAAAATAGCTAAGAAGCACCTTAAAAAGTGCTCAACATCCTTAGTAAGTAGAGAAATGCAGATAAAAAACCACTTCAAGATTCCATCTTACCCCAGTCAGATTGGCAAAGATCAAGAGAATGAAAGACTCCAAATGCTAGAAAGGATGTGGAAAAGAGAAATGTTCATTCACTGCTGGTGGAAATGCAAACTTGTACAACCACTATGGAAAGCAGGTAGGTGAGCCCTCAAAAAACTAAAAATGAACCTACCATATGATCCAGTGATACCACTCCTTGGCATGTACCCAAAGGACTCATCCTACTGTAGAGATACTGGTTCATCCATGTTTGTTACTGCTCTCTCCACAATAGCTAAGAAATGGAAACAACCTAAATGTCCCTCAACTGACGAATGGATAATAAAAGTGTGGTAAATCTACACAATGGAGTTCTACTCAGCAGTAAGAAGAGATGAAATTATGAAATTTGTAGGTAAATGGATGTAACTACAGAGTGTTGTACTAAGTGAAGTAACACAAATGCAGAAAAGCAAGCGATGTATGTTCTCCCTCATTTGTGGATTGTAGCACCAATTCCTTATATATGTGAATATATAAACTCTGATGTAACATCAGGAGCCAGGAAAATGGAAAGGATACATGGAGGTAAAGGAAAAGAAAGAAACCAAAATGAGGATAGTAGGAAACAGATGTTACCAGAGGGAGGTGAGGAAAGTGGGAGTGTTTGGTAGGGAGGAAAGGAGGGAAGGACATGCAAGGGGCCATGGTGTGTGTGTGTTGTGGGGAGGGAAATCAGGAGAGGGAAAATGGTGGGAGATGGGTGTTATGGGGGGTGGGGATAATGGGGCTGCTGGGACTAGTGAGGGAGGAGGGAGGCCAGATGGGAGAAAAAAGAGTAGAGATGAATGAATCTTGTGGGGCTAGGAAACCTAGAGGGAAATGTGATGTCCTTGAAACCCTGTGAGAAATGCACATACACTGTCTGAACATTAGTGTATATGTATACCTGGGAGCTACTTAGCAAGACAGAAGAGACCTCCTTTTGAGTAATTGGTGAGGGTGGTCCAGGAGACTACCCAAATAACACAGGCTACTGCCAAGCACCTTGGTTATTCCCAGAACTTGTAGATGAAACCTCTTGCTGAAGACAGGACATACTTTGGATACAGGATTTGAAGCAATGGAGCAGGAACTGACCTGGAAGCCTTCTAACTGAAGTTTGGCTATCATAATGCTAGATGATGATATGCATACTGCAAGAGAGAAAACCAATCAATCGTTCAACCCAGCCCTAAAGCCTAATAACCATAATGACCAACATGGCAAATTACCTCTATTGGTGCAGTAGTAGCACTGTTATCTGGGGGCAATCAACAGCTATGTAACTGGACTTAAAGCCCTCTCAATGGGAGTGAACTCATGGGTGGCATTGTAAACTCAGCCAAATACATATGGCAGGAGAGGACACAGATCCTAGGAAAACCCTATTTCTTTCATATCTCTAGACAAAATTTCTTACTATATGATAAATATTGATCCTTATATTTACAGACAAGCATGCTGTATACCACTCTTCAAAGAAGCTTTTTTTTGCAACAGATGGAGGCTACTGAAGAACTGTACATCTGATCAGACACAGAGAAGTACATCTGAGAGATGCCCAGTACTAGGTGACACATCAACAGTTGAATCTCTACAAGTAAGGCTCACGGAACATAGCAGAACTAGGGGTAGAGAGAAAACTAATGCATCCTTCAACTCTCATCAGTAAAGCTTCCTTATACAACAGAGTGTGATGCACACAGAAGGCCACAGTTGACCAAGTTTTAAAGAATAAGAGACTGCAGAGTGTAAGATAGGACTCCTATATGGAACCTCACCCACCCATGGCTCAGGGACCATTTTGGAAGAGGGGGCAGAAAGACTGTAAGAGCCAGGGCTGGTTCATGAACACAGGGAAGGCAGAGGCTTTCAGGCCACTGGAAGCTTACATATGTGAACTTGCGGCAATGGTGGCATTGAGCACAGGACACACACCAACTCAATTAAACAAGAGCCCAGAGGGGAGAGAAATGGGTGACAGGCTGGCACTAGACTGAGAACTATTAGAGACTAACTGCTGCTGGGTGGGGGAAAGTATGCCTAGATGGGCTGATTAGACTCTAGAGGATTAATTTACCCTGCAGGACATCTGGGTACAAATGCCTGAATGGATAGGACTTAACATGGGCGGGGAAGGGGTCTAAATTTGATTAAGAACTGTTGTATGAAATTACAAAAGCTCAACAAAAATATTTATTAAAAAGAATCAGTGAGCTTCAGGTTCAGCCAAAGACCCTGACTCAGTAAATAAAATGGAAAATGAAATAGGAAGACCCTCGATACCAACCTCTGGCCTTCACACACCTTTGCACACAGGTACAAATGGGCACATGTGCACCCATATACATATGCACATTCATACACACACGTACACATACCACATACACATGCAAAAAATTAAGGTTTTGGAATAGATAAAATTTAAAAAAATAGCCAGGCATGGTGGCACACACCTTTAATCCCAGCACTTGGGAGGCAGAGGCAGGTGGATCTTTGGGAGTTCGAGGCCAGCCTGGTCTACACACTGAGTTCTAGGACAGCTGGGGCTACAAGGAGATATTGTCTCAAAAAAGACAAAAAAATACAAAAAAAAATAAATAAAAAATGGTGTACTTCCAAGATTCAGTTCTTTCCTCTTTCAAGAAGAATTTGTAATCTAGTCCTATAATATAATAATATAATGATACATTTTAATAATTTAGTACTTAAGATCATGTGGTATTAATGAAGAAAACAGTACCATGAAAAACTGAATATTGAGAAGGGAGGGTGTGCAAGGGTGAGGAAAACCAAGGTCTGCCTTAAAACTGGTTAAGCGAGAAGGGCCATGAAGCAAGAGGCAGGAAAGCTGAGCCCAGTCCCTGTTCTGCCCCAACTTGCAGCGTGACTTTGGGAAGTCACATTCCATTCTAGGCAGGCCTATTTCCTAGTCAGTCAAATAGAGCTGCTATCTTGGATTTAATTATTTATAGTGGCCATTTCAACTCTAATATCCAATGACGTGTGCTTTTTAAGTTCTATAAATTCTTTAAGCCAACCATAACTCTGCTCCCATACAGGTTGCATTCCATTAATATTTATAAAACATTTTTTTGAGAGCGGGTCTTACTATCTAACACTGGCTAGCTAGCCTTGAACTCACAGGGATACACCTGACTCTGCCTCTCAAGTGTTGGGTTGAAAGGCATGCACCAACATACCCACACTTTAATTTTTTTCTGTCTTTTTTGAGACAGGGTCTCCTTGTAGCCCCAGCTGTCCTGGGACTCACTAGGTAGACCAGGCTGGCCTCGAACTCACAGAGATTCACCTGTCTCTGCCTCCCAAGTGCTGGGGTTAAATGTATGGGCCACCATGCCTGGTGCACTTTAATATTACGAATCCACAGAGAATGTTTTCTTTTTGGCTATGTGTTGCTAGGAACCTGCTGCACGTTTACATTTTGAGGCCCATAGCCCACCTTTCAAGCCATGCTTCAGACAGTGTTCCATCACCACGAAGAACTGCTGGAGAGGTGCATAGTCAGAGTCCAGAGTCCGTCCCAGGTTCAGAGCTGATTCAATCAAGCCCTTGATCGAAAGCTTGGCCATGTTCATCAGGTTCATGCGCTCGTTAGCCATGAGATAATTAGGATCTGTGGGAAGAGCAAGAGGATGAATTTGGTTAGTGGAAGATTCAATATGAAGCACAGTGTAATTTCACCAATTTGATGTTTGCACTGATGGCATAAAAGCAGCTGTGGGAAGGACTGCTAGTGACTTGTCATGAGCCAAGGAAGTGGCACCATACTATTAGTTTTGGTTATGTTCTTCCTGGCTGTGTACTTGCTGTGGAAAAAAGATGTCAATTTCCCTTTAAAAATCCCTAAGCCTTAAATATAGCTCTGCTACCAACCTATCTGGTCACCTGCCAAAGCTTACTACTATGTCACACTGGCACCAGGCTCAGCTTCTACAGTCACCTGCCCCCTTGTTGGACAGCTTATGAAGTGTTCAAGATAGAGCCAATGTAGGAAAAAGGGATAAAGTGCTTATGCAAGTACCTCCAAGTATATGATTTTTTTGATTAGTATTTATACCAATCCTCATTATTAGTGAATTAAATATTAGCATTATTGGTATGAGAACCTAACTCCTGGCATTGCAAAACTCAGCATACAGTGTCAGTTTATCTTAGTGAGATAAACTACTTGAGAAAAGGGACCCAGGACCCCATTTTATTTGGCATAATTCAGAAGAGTCTAGGCATTGTTTACTTTTTATAATTGTGGTCACCACCCCGGCCCCTGTACCCACCCACCAAAGTTTCATTAGAACTTCAAGCAATCCTTCAGCCTCAGCCTTCAGAGTGTTGTGATTACAGGCATGTACTACCACATTCATTTAATTGTGGTCTTAACTGCTTCTTGTAATGAGCTATGCAGCTGCTCAAAGCACACTAATCAATAACAGAACCGGAGTCCAGAATGCCTCTGTCCAACTCCAGCCTATGTTCTTGCTCACTATAACCTACATAACTGATGACTAAAAACTGCCTAGAGCTCTATGAAACATTTCACCTCTGCTGAAGATGAAAGTCTTAATAAAACCATACTTCCATCATACAAATAATCCACTTAACACAAAATGGGGATTATTTTATGGAAATTGTCAAGTACTTTTTTTCATACTATGTTTTTATTTATACCTGCCTTCATAGTTAACAGAGCAAAATAGCCAAAGCTTTAACTAACTTACATCAAGTTCAAAGACCCAGCACTAGGGAGGCAGAGGCAGGCAGATCTCTGTGAGTTTAAGGCCAGCCTAGTCTACATAGTGAGTTCCAGGCCAGCTGGGGCTACAGGGAGACTCTGTCTCAACAAAACAAAACAAACAAACAAACAAAAAAACAGAAAACACAACAAAAACAAAAAACCAAATATTCACAGACTTACAGCCCTAACAATGTAAATCTTGATTTATTGCAACATTCTCTTAGGTAATATTGTAACTACCTTATAAAGTTTTGAGGACAGTGCTTTACTATGTAGCTCAGGCTGGTCATGAATTAACAATCCTCCTTCACATAAAAGAACATTGGTGCAGTAGTGGCACTTTTATCTTGGGGGTAATCAACAGCTACCTAATTGGACTTAAAGACCACTCAATAGGAGGAAACTCATGTGTGGCACTGTAAACTCAGCCAAATACACATAGCTGGAGAGGTCATAGATCTTAGAGAAAATTCCAGGGCTGTCACATCCCCAGATAAATGTAATGTCTTACAATGTGAAAAATATGGATCCTTAAATTTATAGATATGTATCCCAGTCATCATCCCCCAAAGAAGCTTCTTTTTCAAGAGACAGAGATAATTACAGAGTTCCACAACTGGTCACACACACAGATTGTCTGTGAATTTTCCAGGTCTAAGTGGTAAATTTAGGATGCAACCTCTACACCTAAGACTCAAGGGATGAAGAGACCACTAATGCATCTTTCAATTCTCATCAATGAAGCTTCCTCATGCAATAGAGGACCAGGAATACAAAAGGTCACAAATGGCCAAAATGGAGAGAATAAGAGTCTGCAGAGTGTGGGTCCTTGGATGGGTATCCCATATTGAGGTCCACCCACCCAGGGCTCAGGGACCATTGTAGAAGAGGGGGCAGAAAGATTGTAAGAGCCAGGGAGGAGGTGCATTACCATACAGAAATAGTTCTACTGCCGCCAGGGACCCTTCTCATACAAACCTACAGCAATGGTGTCATCATACACAAGACCCATACAAACTTAAGCAGACAAAAACCCAGCACAGAACTGTGGAAATGAACATCAAGCCCCAATCTTAGTCAAAGAATTATTGGCAGCTGATTACTGATGGGTGAGGAAGAGCTGATCTTCTTGAAGGGAGAGACTCTAGATAGGCAGACTAAATCCTGGTGGATGAACTTGCACTGAGGGATGTCTCAGGACACTAACTTTACATAATAGGCCTTATCACAAATGACAGAATGTATTAACTCCAGTGGGGGTGGGGGCTATGGAAGGGGGCCAAAGTGGAAGGGGCATGGGTGGTATCAAGATGATTTTATGTATGAAATACACAAAAATTCAATAAAAAAATTTAAAAAAGGAATTCTGATTTGGGACTGGGATACTTGAGCTACACAAAGATTAACTAGGGCCTGCTGGAATTAAAGTCCTGTCACCTTAGACTTCATTCCCAGGGTGCCAGAACCTATTAAAGTAACCTGTGCCAAATATAAGCAATCAACTCATTCTTTAGAACATATTTTCTTCAAAAGTATACACACAAAACCCAAATCCCATCCTCCCCCGAAACAACCCAAACGCTGCTCTCAACCTTAGCACCACCACTGACTTTTTGAACTATATAATCCTATTCTATGAATTAAGTCAGAGTGTCTCAGGTGTCAGTAGCCTCCAATCCTGACAACCAAAGCTATCTCTGGGTATCAATAAATGTCCCTAGAAGACAAAAACAAACAAATAAAGCTTCCCTTCCTCTGGAAAAACTATTAGTCTAAACAAACACAAATCAGGGGCTAGGGAGAAGGTTCAGTGGTTAAAAGCATTGGCTGCTCTTGCAGAGGACTCAGGTTCAGTTCCCAGCACCCACATGGCAGCTAACAACTGTCTGTAAGTCCAGTTCTGGGCAAATCTGATGCCCTTTTCTGACTTCCATGGGCACTGCACAACACGGGTGCACTTACATACACATGGGCAATACACTCATACACATAAAATAAAAATAATAGATATTAAAAAAATAAACAAAATTCAGGAGAGTTTGACTATTTGACACAGAGCTTAAAAATATGAATGTAAGCTGGGCGTGGTGGTGCATACCTTTAGTTCCGTCACTGGGGAGGCAGAGGCAAGAGGATCTCTGTGAGTTCAAGACCAGTCTAGTCTCCATAGTGAATCCAGGCCAGCTGTGGCTACAGGGAAACCCTGTCTAAAAAAGACATATATATATATATATATATATATATATGTATAATATATATGAATGTATTTCTTTCTCATTGTTAAAACAAAGTTAAAGTAAGTAGCATTCAATTCTGATTTTATGTGTATGAGTATATTGCTTGCATGAACCTAAGTGCATCCATGTTGTGCAATGCCCGCAGAGGACAGAAGAGGGTGTCCGATCCTCTGGAACTGGAGTTACAGACAGTTGTTAGCTACCATGTGAGTGCTGGGATTTGAACCCAGGTCTTCTGCAAGAACAGCCAGTGTTCTTAACCACTGAGCCATTTCTCTAGCCCCTCAATTTTTATTTTTAATCAAGATTTTCCTGATAAAGAGTATTGTCAGTGTGGGAATTAAATTTTAATTATATTTTCTGGTTAGTGCTATGCAAACTACTGAAAATAGTACCCAAATATTTTTTCTATTTTTGTGATGGTAGCTACTAATAAAGATTAAATCATTAACTTGTTATATAATATGAAATTTTTCTATTCAGTTTATTACTTGCTTTGAATTGTATTCAAGTATAAATGATGTTTCAGAGTGAATCTGTACTCCAAAAAGGACTGCAGTGAGTTGACGGCACAGAGGGACATCAGAGAAGCAGCTAAAGCTTTGTACAGATATGGCTGCTGGCTACACGGGAGTGCAGAAAGGGTGGGAATTTACTGAGGCAAACAATTGCAGCATACTTTTAACAACACAAAGAAAAATATTTTTAAAAAATATGCATGACTTTTGGGATGAGGGTGCAGCTCAGTGAGAGTGTTGTCTAGCATTCTGTGCTCAACAGAAACAAAAGCATAATGTTCACAGCACCATTAGTTGCATTTTTCCTAAGAGAAAAACAATTAACATTCAAAAATTTTCACAGTGCTAACATTTAACATGTTATTTCAATAGTGAACTTTCATGCAATTACCATTTCAACAGTGAACATCTATTATACTTTAGTCCTTGGGTTTAGTGCTAGGAATACAGAGTAATAGACCATGCCACCAAAGTACTTCTCACTTATCAAACTTCATTAATAAGAACTTCTGTAGAACAGATGAGGGCAATGCACAGTAATAACCTGACATTTCAGGACAGGTACTATCAACTTGGACAAAGATCAATTTTATTACAGGACAAATAATTTAAATTTTTACTTATTTATTATTTTATTTTATGTGTATGCATGTATTGCCTGCATGTATATAAGTGTACCCGTGTTGTGCAATGCCCATGGAGGACAGAAGAGGCCTTTGGATCCCCTGGAACTGGCATCATGGACAGTTGTTAGCTGCCATGTGGGTGCTGGGATTCAAACCCAGGTCTTCTGCAAGAACAGCCAGGGGTCTTTTTTTTTTTAATTGATTTTTTTTGTGTATTTCATATAAAACATCCCAAACAATCTTACTCATCTTTATACCTGCATCCCAAAGCTCCCCCCCCCCCCCGGCCACTGGAGCCCATATACCCTGTCATCTGTCATCTCTGTTACTGTCTACTGTGTTGTCAGTGCTCCCAGCCATTCCCCAATGCAAGTCCATCCACTGAGTCTAGTCAGCCTATCTAGAGTCCCTTGTTTTAGGAAGATCAGCTCTTCCTCATCTAGCAGCAATCAGCTGCCAACATTCCTTTAGATAAGATTGGGGTCTGCTGTTCATTTTCC